CCCTCTCTCTCTACCCCTCTCTCTCTCCCCCCTCTCTCTCCCTCTCTCTCTCCCTCTCTCTCTCCCTCTCTCTCTCCTTCCTTCTGATGAGGGTCCTGAGGTAGTATACTTTTGCTTTCTTTCTTTGGCACTGCGTTTATAATTTTTCCTTTGTGAAATTTAGTGGTTATCATGCTGACTTGTTGCAAACTTCAGCAAGTTTTCTTTTGCACACAAATATTGCAGGTGCTGTGTTGCCAGTGCAAGCCATTCACCCTGTGACCAAACAGAAATTGAAAGTGGTTGTGACAGATTCAGAACATTTTTTCAAGAACAGAGATGTCATGTTGGGTAAGAAATGTGGATATTTTTTTTGGACAGCCTAATTGTTGGAGAGATGTTTAGACACTAGGTTGCAATATTTTACTTTTAGAGAATATTGGAGTGTCTGATGATGATAATGGCTTTATTTTTGTATTTACGGTTCAACGCCGATGTTTATTTGTGAGAAGATGTTGAATGAGAGGAAGAGGATGTTTAATGAGATGCTTAGGGACAATCATTAATTTAATGTGGACAGTGAAATTTTGTGTACATACATTATCTGCATGAAATCTCTCCCACATAAATCTGTCTCTTTCTCCACACCTATGTTTCGATTATTATAACTGATGAAGTTTAGTCTCATGAATGACCTAGCTGTTTTGAAAGTCCGTACTGTATCTGTGACTTTTTGTAGTTAAGACTTATACTGATATTATGAAGACTATGTTTATTTTTAAGATGCTCTTGCCCAAAAGTATAACGCTCTCAAACTGAAGTGTTCACTTTCTGTTCCCTCCAGGCATACCAAGTGTCTCAGACAATGCCCGGGATGTAGCAGAGCAGCTGGGTCTAGAGTTCTTGGAAGTTCTAGATAAATCTCGTGAACGGCTTGTGAACTCTGAAGAGGTGATACTTCTTTTAGTCTCTTAGTGAAATAAAGTGTGAAGATGGTCTTCTATTTTTTGTATGTTTGTTTGCTGATGAGCTGATATTTTCTTCTCTTCGTTATCTTATTCTTTTCTGGGTTTTAATGTTTTTAAAGCTGGCAAAACAGTTCAGATGTTTAATATTTGTAGTTTAGATACCGAAATATAAGGTATTTGCTTCAGTGGTGTTGATTTTCTGGATAATTACAAAAATCTGGTTTTCTGAGAATGTCTGGATTTTGCATGATTTCAATAGTAATACCGTCCTGCATATTCATTTATTTTTGTTTTTTTCTATTTGTGCATGTCATATTGGACTGTACATATAAATGGTCTTGATACAAGATATATTAGGCTATACTTGAGATCCGTAAATTTGTATCCCTGCATGTGCAGCCAAAGGGGGCGAAAAAGTGCAGGAATTTTTTTCACAGCCAGTTGGCACTTTTGTTTTCATGTTTTTTGCCGATTAAACATTTTTGTGTTTTCGTCTGAACTGTTGGAAAGTGTGTAATGTTTGAGTAAAACATTTGGTTGTCTTGTCTTTTAATGGTATTGAAATCCCAATATTGATAAAATGACCCACAAGTTCACTAGGTTGGCTTTTTAGTACGACACTGATGATTTCATCAGTCTGCTAACAACAAGTCTTTGTAAAATGTATCAGTATCAATTTTTTGTTGTTGATATCTCTGTTTGTTTAATTACTTTTTTTCTGTTGTGCAGTTGACAGGGTTGACCAGAGAGGAGGCAATGAAAGCGGTACAACAGAAAATCTTGGTAATTCATATTGCTTTTGCTGTGGTAATTTTTTTTAGGTAAAGAAAGTATTTGACTGGTTCAATGCCCTGACTTTTGAATGTGATGGGTTGTGTTCAGGCAGCGCTAACAAGCTTACAATGATGGGCAGTATTTTATTGAGTAGCGTATATTAAATTAGATAGCGTAAATACGGCCTCGTGACCTTCTGAGCACGTGGTTTTGGTGAAATCAGGGTAATTCAGATTGCTGTTTCTTTGCTCTTTCGCTATAAACACCAAATGCTGTACACCTTGTAGAAGTTCAGCTTTTCCTCGTTACAATGCTGTAAGCTGTTTATACAGTGGTGTCCAAAAGAATCTTGAAAATGTAATCACCAAGTGTGAAGTGCAAGGTTTTAGCACGATGATTGGGTGATTACATTTTCAAGTTTCTTTTGGATATGACTATATATCCGATTATTAGGAGCTGGAGGGTGGCTGTGGAAAGCGAAGCCCCTCGGGGTTGGAATGCGCGGTCGGCCGGTTAAAATATTAAAATGCGGAAATTCAAATGTTTGGCGGAAAGATTTATGATTAAATGCCGTCTTTTCATTAGCGGAGAACTGTAGAACTTTGAAAGAGCTTTCCCATGGTATATTTTTGGCCTTTGGCGTTTAAATAGAAATCCTTTAAAAATACTGTCAAAGTTTTCAAAGATCATTTTTTACACGAAGTATGTAAAATGCTTGAAAAAGGTACCAATAGAAAGATCAGTTCGTTTTCTATTAGAATAAAGTGTAATTGGCTTGGAATTATTTGGTATCAATCCTTCCGCGAAACTTGGAAAGCATGTGACTCCCACGCTGGGAGCACTCGGTACACTACAGTATAGAGTCGACTCGCGCGCCGCGGGGGCTGGTGCGGCACCGGCCGGGACAGCGCTCGGTGTTTTTTTTTTAAAGTAACGACAGATCATCTCGTTTGAGGCAAAAAAATACTGATTTGCAATGACCTCACAATCTTAAAAAAAATTAGGCTCCATATCTATGTTATTGTGATTGTACTCTGTTGATGTGGAGATGTTTGGTGCACTTGGTACTCTTTCATTATCTGTCAAACATGGGATTGCAGCCAGTTTTTTAGCGACTTTAGCAATATTTGATCATATTTATACAGCTACCATTTTCTTAGAAATTGACTGAGAAGTTAAAGAATGGTACCAAAATTCTCAGGGGATATAGGCCTTTCATATAGAACAGATAAATTTGGCATACAGCTACTTTGAAAATTTAGTTTCTGGTACCTAATTAATTGAGTAACATTTTCCAATGGCACTGGGCATGAGGCAAATGTTAGTAATGCCTGTGAAAAGGTTGAAGCTATTATAGTAAATGTAAGATTATCTAAGAGGTAGCGCATCTAAGTTTAGTTTTCATCTTTGATACAACAACCAAAATATGGATGTATCTGAATGAAGACATCCCATACGTGATGCCCCAAAAAATCATGACAAAAAAGAAAGGAAAGATAAATGTAATCCCTTAAGGGATGTTTGTTTTGCAGTGACTTGATAACAATCAAACACAGTGTAAAACATAATTTATTAGAATGAATTCTATGGCTTTGCTGGTCAACACAGTGCAGAGCCCATTTTTTGAGCAAAGCTTTCTGTGTAGCACTGTAAGGTGTGCCACAGTGCCCCCCCCCCCCCTTATTAGAAGCTATTATATGGATATCACATTAAATCTTTTCACTCTGTTTTGTTAGGCCAGAGATCCTCTATGGACAAGTTAATGCAAAAGAGAGCTGGACAGAAAACATATTACTCTAATGTCAGAAACGCCATCTCGTTGAGTTTAATCCCACTGTGGCAGCTACGGCCTCTGTACATGGGACCATATTTGTGGCTCTGTCTGCTTACGGTTTGATTTGTTCAAAATGATTAAAACTCTGTGTAAGCTGAAAGGTGATCCATGAATTTTATTCTCCCCAGGACTTGGGTGTTGGTGGAGAACGAATCAGCGAGCAGTTGAATGACTGGCTCATATCCCGACAGCGCTACTGGGGAACTCCTATTCCAATCATCCACTGTCCCCAGTGCAAGGTAACGCATTTGGAATTTGGATAACACTGCCCTCGTCTTTTAGTGTTGTACTTGATAGTGAGTGGGCACAGCGGGGGCAACTTTTTGACAAGAAATAGATTAGAATAGATGCCCGTAGGTCATATGCAAAATCAGTTTGGATTAGGCTGCATAGAGTGAAGATGCTGTCCATTGCTCATGATATCAAATTTACCTCTACTTTACTTCATCAAATTTGAACCACAAGTTCATCTGTACCCATTGCATTTCGTGCTCAAACAAAAGATGTTATCCAACAATGCGTAGTAGCCTTGTGACTGGCTGTTGGACACAATTTCACCGAACTAGACAGGTTGTGATCCAGAACGCTAACGTGTTTGATTTGGGAGAATTTGATCAAATTATGCCAAAAATGAACCAATGGAACATGAAGCAAAAAGGATCCAAAGAAGCTAGCTGATCCATCCTAAATAAACCAAGAAAAGGACACCAAACGAATAAAGCAAACACAGAACAAAGAAAAAAGTATGTTGGTACAGTTAGGCAGACAGACAGCTGAATAGAAACAAACAGAATCATGTGAAGACAACAGAAGTATTCAAAATGAATGTACAAATGACTCTTTCTATCATCATAGGTGGTCCCTGTACCTGTTGAACAACTGCCTGTAGAACTACCGCAGACAGGGAGGCTGGTCTCAAAGGGAGGGAAATCCCCGCTAGAGGAGGATACAGAATGGCTGAATGTCAAGTGCCCAAAGTAAGTTTTTTTGGAGCTTTTCAGTGAAGCAAAAACTCAGTAAGGCTCTGTTCTCATGGCATATATATCATGTGCTGCATGCCAGAATGAAACATTTACTTGTCTCTTCACATAATGACAAGTTTGTTGTGTATGTGTCACACATTTTTTGTAACATGTTACTGGAATTAATTTTGTGATCTATATGAGACATACTCGGCGAAACACCTGCGGTTGGCAAAGACACTGGAAAAATTAGTTGTGAGATACAGTCAAACCTGCCCTGACGGCCACCTCTGTAAGACGGCCACCTGTGCAAACGGCCACTTTCCATTTCCCCCCTTGCGTTTTTTCTATATAATTTAACTGTGTAAGACGGGTACCTGTCCAATGCAGCCGCGGCCGCCATATTTTAACACACAACCCCTATCACACTGAACAATAACACCTGTCTTAGAAGGCCACCTTAGTGACACCATTATGTTTTGTCATAAATTGTGCATTGTCCCCTGGTGTTGTGGGCGAGCCGTCATAATTCAATCACCTGTCGTTGTTGTTAGGTAGTCCCTCCAACCGATCATGTTGCTTAGGCCCCTCCCACTGTTGACCAATATGTACCAATTTTCAGCTGCTGGTGAGGTAAGCGTGTGATCCTTCATAACCCACAAGCTTCATACACAAATCGTAAGTGAGATGAGGGGTCACTGTTTACCCAGTCTGTAACAAAGTAACAATATGAACATGTGACAGAAGCGTCGCTTGTTCTCCGAGTGGTGGCGACCCATGTGTTTGTTTTTAGATGGCACTCGGTCTTGCTCGTCTGATACATTTCGTTTTATTGTCACCCTTGCGCAAAATCAGAAACAAAATAAAAATTACTTACAAAATACAAACTAACAACAACAACAACAAAATCAACAACAATGTGGCCACTTTCGATTGGTACCTCAGAATGATGGGAATGGTTTGTTTTCTTCATCTTGATTAGTCCTGCCTAAGATGGCCACCTGTCTTATACGGCCACTTTTCTCCTTGACAATGTGTGGCCGTCTTACTCTCTCTCTCTCTCTCTCTCTCTCTCTCTCTCTCTCTCTCTCTCTCTCTCTCTCTTTCTCCCTCCCTCTCTCTCTCTCTCTCTCTCTCTCTCTCTCTCTCTCTCTCTCTCTCTCTCTCTCTCTCTCTCTCTCTCTCTCTCTCTCTCTCTCTCAGGTTTGTCAAGAAGATAAATATCAGTTATGTATGTCTTTTGCTGTCTTTGTCATGATCTAAGTATTGTCAGACTTGTGTTAAGTGCAGGAGAATAGAGATAAGTATTGATGTGAGGGTTTTTTGTTGTTGTTTTTTTTGCTTTGTTTTTTGTCTATTGTGTTAGTTTTGGAAATTCCGAGATTTATCACCTCTTTCAAGCTAGATTGCTTATATTATTATTATTATTATCAGAGTCCAGAGAGAACACTTTCAACCAATGGGGGCAAGGTTACTTTTTGGGGGGTTTTAAAAATTATTGATCCAGTAGTTGCTGAGCTAGCCAATTGTTTTGTAGTGGAATGTGCATGTCTGTTCCAGTTTTGTTGTTGATCTATTATGGAAATTTGAAGTGGAAGAGAATCTTTATCATCGTGTCGAAAAAAAATAGCCTATGTCTTGTATTTTAGTTTCAAACTGATTCAGGCCATCATGATTCCTTTTGTTACAATAATTAGGATGTTTGTTGACTCATTTATTTATGCGGGAGGGAGGCTCTTGTGGCCTAGGGGTTAAGCTGTTCGCCTCTCATTCAATTGGTCTCGGTTTCGAATTTGGATAGCGACGGAAAATTTTCTTTTCTAAAATTTTCTTCTTTCACATCCTTTCCTGCTCTCTTACAATTTTCTATCATCTGCTTTCGTCTCCACTTTCTGCCCCCGCCCCCCTCACCTCCTTTACTCCCTTCACTGGGCGCCAGACTATTTCTGCAGCCTTAATACTGCAACTCCTTGGCTCCTTCTTACTGCTGTCTTTCAGCCACACCCCTTATTTTATAGTAGGGAAGATCAACACCTAGCCTTCTTGGACAAGGGCGAAAAATCTTAGAGGTCCAGTGTGTAAGTTAAGTACGTTAAAGATTCCTTGGTGGTCCAAAATCGATAAGAGTAGGCTTCGGCCGTCACTGAAGCAAAATTCAAAATTTCCTACCAACTGAAAATGTCAAATTAAAATATGTCCCTTGTGCTCATATGACCGTTTGCAGTTGCGAGCGCCATAAAACATTTACCCCCCCCCCAAAAAAAAACCAACCCAAAACAACCAAACCCCCCCCCCCAAAAGATTTACACTGTTTTAAGACGTGATGGTAAGCTGTCGTATTGGGAATGCAATGAAGATTTTGGCCTATGCCTCTCTTATGCCATCGTCATAACATGTTGAGAAGTTTTTCCTGTATTTGGCTGGTTGGAGGTGGCCTCTCTGTCTTAGAGGCCTCTGAGGTTGATATGCAATGATCAGCCATTTAAAAACGGTTGTTCACTGCTCCGGCGCACTATTCTAATGATCATGCTGTCCATGACTTAATGTTGTCAATTCATTGTATTCTCTGCTTTCCTTCGTTCCTTGTCCCTTCTATCTTGCCTTTTAGCAAGTATTTAAAAAGATTAATCTGTATTCTGATTTCCTAAGTAGAAAAGATTATGGGGATGCAGGGGGCGACGTGTGGTAAAAATGTTTTCCTTAACATGCTGGAAAAGGTCATGTTTGATGCTACTGAGTTTATTTTGGTAACTTTAAATAACCAAGGAACCGCTGACGAGTATACATTACTTCTCTCCTAGCGGTGTTCTCTTCAGGACTAGGAATGAGAATTCTTGCTTCGACTTTCTGTTTCTACTCCACGGTCTCCATACATTTGTTAAACCGAAGTAAACACATTCTTTGTTCAATTGCTGGGAAATGTATGCTAGATCTTGAATTCTTCCGGTCTTAATGATATGATGTTTTGAGTATTGTGTGCATGTAGTTCAGGCTTGATACAGTTAAAGTTCCTTCCTCTGTGTCTGCACAAGAAAGCCCATAGAATAAATGTATTTATGGGTTTGTGCCCACACTACATTCCCGTTCTGCAAGGGTCCCAGGTGAAAATTGAAGCAAGAAAAACAATCACTGAGAATTTTCTCACCACACCAACTCGATAACAAAAGACTGCTGAGATAGTATGCAGCAATGAGTGATTGCAAAGGTGGTCAGTGACTCTTTTGAGGTTTTCACAAAGAAAGAAGCACATTTGGTGTGTGTTAGATCTTGGTTTCATGATTCTGATGCTGAAAGTCTCTCGATTTTGCAGTGAATTTAAAACATGTGTTTGAGGCATTCAAGATTTTGATGGTGTAAACTGATGCCGCCCCAAAGATGACATTGGTTCAGTTAATCGACCGCCGATGTGACAGTAATGAGTGGGGACCTGCATCCCCTTTACAAAGCTAACCTGTGAGCTATTTAGCCCTGTCGTGTGTGTGTGCGCGCAAGCGTGTGTGTGTGTGTGTGTGTACATGCGCGAGCGTGTGTGTGTGTACGTGCGCGAGTGTGTGTGTGAGTGTGCGTGCGAGCGCGCGTGTGTGTGGGTGTGTGCGTACGTGCGCGAGCGCGCGCGTGTGGTGTGTGCGTGCGTGCGTGTGTGCATGCGTGCGTGTGTGCGTGCGTACGTTTTTATACCCTTTCTCACACCAGTTACCCCAGCTGGTTGACTTTGTTTCTGGCTTTGTGACATTGATCAGTTTGTCTGGGGTATTTTTCTGATTAAAGGCTTCGGGGTTTGTTTTTCTTTCGTTTTGGGAGGATTTTTGTCTAGATATGAGATAAGCACCGTTTATTTACATTTTAATTTCTGAAAGTTTTTATGAAAACTCGAATTGAAATGGTAATATATCAGGAAATTGATGGCGCTGTTAAATGCTTCGGCTTGGGTGCGAATGTTGGTAGCAGTGACATACATATAATGATATGTTGAACGAAGAGCAAAACCTGGTATGGCAAGTTTTGTCACACCTACAATAATTCTTGGTATGTTGCATATCGCAAATATCAGACACACAATGAAGACTTGTCGCAACGCTTGGAGCTCTTTCCCCTTGAATTTTGTTGCATCTGATTTTTGTGTACCCACTTCGTCATGACGCGTTTCGCTGTGCCTGCCTAGTGCGTGGGTCTGTCGAAATGAAACAGCTGATTTCAAACTCCGAGTCATGATGAGAAGACACACGATCACCACCAGCTGGCTGCTTGTCGTCATGAGAATGTTGGACACGAGGTGTTCCACCCTCGTCACAACGTGATAGGCTTCTAAAAGGTGCAGGGTCATCCTTGTCGTGCCGTTTCTGCCCAGGGGAATGGGGCGAAATCGAAGTGTGAAACACGAAGGTCCGTTGACCAGAAGGGAGTATACGCAGAAGCTGAAGATGAACCACACAACTCGGCGGGTTGTAAAAATAGATTTAAACTTTAGAGGCATGTAAATACAGAGACATCGCGTGACGGCCAGGAAGCTAGTGATCAGTACGGAGACTACGAGGAAACAGTCTTTGACATTGGAGCTGAGGCCAGAAATGACATGCGGGTCAAACCAGCTTAAACCGTTTGTAGTTCCGTGTACGATTCTCAAAACAGCCCCTGTAATGTTTAACATGACTATGGTAAGCAGTCCTAAGTCAGAGATGGACAAGGAGAGAAACAGGACAGTCATACTGTCGGATACGCCCATTTTGAGAAATACAGCGATATTCAAACAGTTGGATACGAGCCCGAACACCGTGAGAACTGTCCAAGGTAGCAAAACTCCTTGGAGATAAATCAGTTCTTGCTGCTTGCTCATGATGTCCTCTCCCGTGTTCTCTCTTAAACTTGTTGTATTTGTAGAGTTGAACATTGTGGGCTGCTTGTGTTGTTCTGGACTTGTTTGTGGGGGGGGGGGGGGGGGGGGCGTTACTGACAGGTCCTGTATTTTTTTCTTCCCGTTGTTACACTAAGTTACACTCTATAAATGTCTTACTTTTTCCTACGCACTATAATAATATGGACGCTATTGTGTCGATGCGCTTCTCTTTACTCAAGCGAAATAGTTGGTGTTGTTGTAGTTGTAGCTCTAGTTGTGAATGTTATTTGTCCGACAATGCACAGGCTGTCGCCCTTCGGTCAAATGACATACACTTACAGTTGCAACTGGTTCAGTTCTACCCTTGTATACTTCCGTAGAGTGGGGTCTCTATGTCTTGTCTCAAGCGAAGAAGGAAAGCTTCTGGGAGAGTTAGTGAATAGGTTCTCTTCGTTGATGCTAATTAGGAAAAAAAAAGACAGTCAAATGTTGAGTTATATTTTGCAGAGAAAACAACTGGTCGTTTCTTTCTGCTTATATAAATCTGAAGGGGCACAATTTTGAGGAGTGTCCTGAACGTCGGAAGTGAACGCCTGCATGTTTTTCTTATCTTTTGAGTAGGCCTATGTGTTTGTTTGGTGGATGTGTGGAAACGGCTGCTGTTGGGACACTGGGAAGTCGTAAGTCTCCCCGACCCATCTGTAATATTATTATTCGTCTTTAGTCTTACTTCTTTCCTGGTACCTTATTAATGATATGACCTGCAGAGAGTGTCCCTGTTCTTCTCGTTGCCTTGGGGCTGGTAGTTGATGGGCTCTGCTTGTATGATCTGCTCCTCCTTCTTTTCAGTGTTACAGTACTGCTATCCTAATCTCTCTCTGACTGGCAAAATGTGTATCAGGTATCTTACAAACTCGCCGTACGCCGTGCAAATAGTATGCTGGAATAGATTCTAAAGTGAGAATAAACGCACTATAGAAGTCACTGCGTTGATTCGTCACGATCAGGTTACAGGTACTCGTACCACCGTACCGTACCGTTATAAAAATGTGTTTGAGCGGGTGGTGACTCATTAACAACTTTTTAAATTTCTCCTGTTTAACTTTAACCTAAAGATGGAAAAGAGTATTTGAGTAAACATTGCATAGTATCTTGAAGTGCAGTTTGTCGTAGTGTAGTATATGGCAACGGGCGTTCGCTGGAGTCGGCGCAAACATGGGTCACGGTATTTTCCTAACGCTAATGTGCTAAAATAGGTTTTTAAGTGAGGATAAACGTATTACTGCGTTTACTTGTCATGATCAGGTTACCGATTACACTTATCTGCGCCTCGTCGTCCCATCATTGAATGAGCTTGGGTTGGTTGGAAAAGTAATAAATATGTTTGACCTACTCCTTTACTTGTAAGTGAACGGGTCGGTTGAAGCATGATTCAAGACTGCACACAATTTAGTCATGGTTAATCGTAAAATGATAACCTAAGACTATTTTATTTTATCTGGTCTTCCAGTGCGTATGTGTCAATGCCTGTGCTGACATCATGATAAGTGCTACTGTAACATGGTATAGATTATTAATTCTCGTTTCGCATCATGTGGAGAATCAAGAAACGATTCTCCTTGAGTGCGCAGCCTCGTCTAACAAAATGTGTAATTAAATTCTTGTTCTGCTTGCGTTGGACTCACTATCCACTTTACATAATCATATATTATTATATTGGTCTATAATATTATGATATTATATATTTATCTAATCTGGATAGTAAACCCAACGCCTATGGAGCAAGAGTTATTTTTTTCGGGACCTAATAGGGACGTGTCAAAAGTAAATGAAGATTCTCTCATAGGTGAATCTGTTCGCATTGAAAGCAAAATCATTGCTTGGTTGGAAGCTATTACCTGTTTAGTTCTCTTCTCTGCGCAAAGAACGTATTTTTAAAAGATGGGTTGGGGGGGGGGGGATTTTTATAAGAATAGTCTCCTTATAATGCGTGTCAGCGAGAATTGGAGGCTTATTATTTAATTAGATGTGACTGTGTGCATAGAAAGGAAGATCATTGCTTCCTCTGAAGCCATTAGCACGACAAAACTGCTCTCTTGACAAAGAAAGGGGCATCATTTAAGTAAAAGAATAGACTGTCTTTATAGCGGTCCTAGATTTGTTTTTGGTTGCGTCTTTTTTTAAATGTTCCCATTGCCGCTCTCGAGTCTACTATTATTAGAACGTCAGGCGACGTGGTCATAATTTCAGCATAAATATTATGTATCGTTCGTGCTTTGCTGTGAATTTTCACCCGTTTTTATTGGATTTTGAGCATTCTTACTTCTGTTATGCCCCTACCCATGTGTACTTCACAGGTTGTGATAAGTACTTGTCTATGTCTTTTCTTTTTGGCGTTGGCCAGGGAAGTAAGGAAAGTGTGTGTGTGTGTGTGTGTGTGTGTGTGTGTGTGTGTGTATGTGTGTGTGTGTTTTCAACCCTCTCTGCACTGCGGATGGACTTCGAACTCGTCCCATATACACTGACCCTCGTGGCACCGCAATAGAAAATGGCTTGGTTACCAGCT